TATATATATATGCCTTAGAAGAAGCATCGTCAAAAGCTCCTTGCAAGTGAGGATGGTAAGACTTTCTTTCACATACTTTGGTTGTGCTATTAGGAAGGAACATAGGAACAATCCCAAGAGAGGAATATCATGCCTGATTAAGTAGAGGGTCAGCAAAAAAGAGAAAGACCTTCAACAAGATGGACTGACACAGTGCTACAACAGTGGGCTCAAACCCAGCAAACAACTGTGAGGATGGCATAGGACAAGACAAATGTAACAGCATGAATGACTGTCAAGGTCACAGTGTTTAGCAAAGGACTACAGACACATGCTATATGATACCTGAAAATAGGAAAAATCTAATATAAGGTGACAGAGGGCGGAACAGTGATTACTCTGGTGGGAGGTTTGTATTGAGCTGGATCACAGAAAGCCTGATGGTATGCTGAAGTATTCTCTATATGAATTTGAGTGTTGGTTACATGTTGTATAAAAATGTAAGCAAAAGTAACGGAAAAGCACAATTAAGGTTTGTGTGCGTCCCTGTAAATTGTTCTTAGCTGTCACTGAATTGCCCATGCAAGGTAACCTCATGCACAGTAGCATCAGGCTGTTGTGATGCATTATTGTCTTATTTATTTGGAAGGAGATTATCAAACCTTTTCCCGCAGGCTGCCTTAGTCTGGAAGACCAAAACCTGTTCAGTCTGGTAATAACACACAGCATACAAGCTATGACAGTAATATGGAAGCTGCATTTTGAGGTGCATTAACTAGAAATTGAGCCTGGGTCTTGGTCTCCCATACCCCTATAGAATTCTACCAACTGTCCACAATAAATAAGTTGAATCTTCAGAAAATAGGAGTAAAAGTATGTTTAGAACTCTTACCTTTGATGAGGTACGAGTACATTGTTAATTCCACCAAGCTTTGCATTGATCTTCAGGCAAAGATTAGAAAGGGTTTGGGGTGAGGTCTTCACAACATTTTTCACTTGGACACATTGGGTGGCCATGCCCAGAAGGGTATCTCCAACACGTTTCACCTCCGCTACAAAAATTCATTTGACATGTGTAAATATTTTGTTAATTATTAGAGTAAAAGAAGAAAAAAAGAAGTAATCACACATCTTTCCAAAGTGCCTGCTGCACATTGTACATTGTGCTAGCTGCTTCTCTTTTGCCAGCCTTTCATCTACTGAACCTCCAGGGCATTTTCTTTTCCTGTTTGGATAGGCTCTCTTCCCTCTCCTTTTCTTCCCTCCTGCAGTCCTTGAACTGCTTCCTTCCAGACTGTTTCTTTTATTCTCTGGTGCTGCCTGTCACCACTCACTGGCTCCCTTTCCCCACATGACTGCTCTGGCAAAGGACCCAGGCTCTGCAACCCCTCCTTCGCAGTAGACAGACCAGCCCTTTGAATTCCAAAAGGGTTTTTCCTTCTCCCCTTTTATTTCCCCACCATTTCATGACACTAGAGATAAACAGAAGGTAACAAAACAAGGAAATGTAGAGAAGAAATTTCAGGAAGCTCCAACTGCTATCTGTAATTCCTAAGTCTCTTGTTTAGCTGATAGCCAAAAGAATTTTTTCATTCCTGTAATACACACAAACTAACAAAATCCTTTTCTGGAAGTGTCAGGCTCTCCTATTAATTTCTATTCTGATACTCTTAAATGCTTTTCACCAAATAAGTCCAGTTCTCCCTGACCTGAACCTCTGGTGTTGCATTTCTTGCACCTTATCCTCATATAACCCCTACATTAAGGCCACAGCCTAATTTTTGTGATGTTAAGACCTTCCAGAGTGCTCCCTTCCCTCTGGCATGAGGCCAACAAAATTCAAGACAGCAGCTGCTCTGCCAAGGTAAGTCCAGGAGTAGGAAAGACATGAGGCTATGGAGCAGAGCAGGGACAATCTCAAGTAGACATATACCAAGAATGAGAAATCAATCTTTGTTATTTCACATGACTTAAAACTGAGGCTCTTAGCTATAATCTAGTTTAACTGACTGCTACACATAATGTTTGTTTACCTACTATTCCTCATTCAGCGGTAAACAGAGTTCATACCATAGACAGGTGTCTTCCCGGGCAAAATAACTACTATCAGCTGCAGCCCCACGTATGTCATTTTCAGATGCTTGAACATGGGCTCCACGCTGTCTGCGCCTTGGGCGTACTTGCAGAAACATGGCTGACCCTGAATGGGCATTCCTGCATCCTTGGAAATTTTACGTAGCTGATCAGTGAAACTCCTGTTAAAACAGAACCAATGGCACAGTGCTTTCAGTACAGAAGTACATTTTAGGGTTACTGCAATTCATTTTCTTCTAAGATGCTGATCAGAAAATAAATAGCTAAAGTTGTTGTTGTTGCTATGTACCATGAAGTCAGAACTAACCCATAGCTAACCCTTCAGTGGGTTTTCAGCGGCAGTAACTTGTATAGAAGCAGACTGCCCATCTTTCTCCTGGAAGGCAGCTTGTGGATTTGAACTGTGTGCCTTCAGCCCAGCAGTGTAGCTCTTTACCATAGGTCACCAGAGTTCCCTGGTAGTAGTAGTCAAGAAACCAAAAGATCTGGAACAGAAGGTGCATTGCAAAGTGGACTAGGGGAGGGAGAAGGCATGGAGAGGGAAGAAAATGAGCATCAATGAATGAATTAAAATTCTTTAAAAAGTAAAAAGATATCGAAAGATGTGTTACATTGGGCAAATCTGTTGTCAAGGATCTCTTTTAAGTGTGAAATAACAAGGATGTCGGTTTAAAGACTAAGGTGTGCCTGATCTAAGCCATGGTATTTTCAATAGCTTCCTATGAATCTGAAAGTTGGACAATGATTAAGGAAGATGAAAGAAGAACTGATGCTTTGAACTGTGGCATTTGAAAAAGTATCAAATGAACTGCCAAAAGAAAGAACAAATCTGTCTTGGAGTAGGTGCAACCAGGGTGCTCCTTGGAGGCAAAGACAGTGAAACTTTATCTCACATACTTTGGGCATGTTGTCAGGAAAGGGCAGTCTTTTTTCTTTTTCTTTTTTATTTTTATTAGTTTAGTTTATTTTTCATTTCAATGAACATCTACAGAGATTTTGGAATTCCATTCATTCATTGTTGCTCCCCCCTCCCCCCCCAGGGCAGTCTTTTCAAAAAGGCATCATTCTGGGAAAGGTGCTAGATCAGAAAGAGAGAAAGCCTCAATAAGATGGATTGTCACAGTGACTGTAACAGTGGGTTTTAGCTTATCAGGGATGGTAAGGATGGTGTAGGATAGGGCAAGGTCATATCTGTTGTTCACAGGGTCACTGTGAGTCATAGTTAACTCAGTGGGATCTAAAAACTACATACATACATGTATGTATGCATATGCATGTATCATGGGAGACAGATGGGACAATCTTCTTCTGGACAATTCACAGCTTCCAAAAACCCCACTGAGGGTCAGCTATGAGTAGGTTCCGACTCAAGAGAAATGAAATTATATATTTCCAAAGCACAGTACCAGCTGTATCACAGCAATTATAGCAGAAAAAAATTGTATTATAAGCTCTCAAATTAGCATTTTTTATTTTTAAGCAATTCTTTCTCAGCTGAGCCTTAGGGACTAGAAAGCACTGTTGCTCAACAATTTCCAAATCAGTAAGAAAAAGCAAAGCAAAAGGTACTAGAGCAGGTGAGTACAGGTATACTTAAGTGACAACACAGGAACACAATGCCACAAAATGAATGTATTTAGATTACATTCAAACAAAACATCTAATGGATTTGATTAAACTGAAATGTCAAAAGAAATCATCGCCTCAGTACTCCAAAATTCACTGCAGCATTTTTCCACAATATTAAAAATATAGGAAAAATCAAAATATGCAGTGATATACAAATGGGTTAGAAAATGTGATGTATACATACAATGGAATATTACCGAGCCACAGAAAAAGAAAAGTTTTGATGTATCCCAGTACATGGATGAACTGTGGAAATATTATGTTGATTGAAATAAGTTATCACAAAAGGACAAATGCCTTATGATCTCACTTGCACAAAATAAACATTAAGAACAAAAAATAACTGTTAGCAATTACCAGGGAAAGGAGAGTTTCAATTAGGGGGCACTAAGTTTATGGTAACAGCAGTGGAGTATTTCAGAAAAGGATAGCAAGAATGGTTGAACAACTTGAAGCATGTACTTAATGTCACTAAATTATTTCATGTATAAATTGTTGAAAAAATGACCACTTAAAAATGTAAAATTTGTTGTAAGGTTTTAATAAAGCTTTCATAATTCCTTTTGTGCCTTTGCCAACATTGTCTATAATTTGTTAATTTTCTTTCACCCGTGCCCTTTTTTTGCCTTGATTTTTCCACTCTTCTCACTAACTTCCTCTCTATAGATAGCTACATCTGTTAAGACGTGAACCAATAATCTTAGTCAGTGACCCTACAGTTAAACAAGCTCACAAGCAAATTACGATTAAAAAGAAACTGGTTTTTTATGTTGGTGGAAAAGATACAATAATATCAAAGGAGGAAAACTGGGGAAACTTCACCAAGAATTTAGGAGTTTGCCAAACAGTGGTGATTGCTTCAAGCTTGGTCACACATTTCTGCTCTAAATGGAAGGAAGCTGAATCAGATTCTTAATGTAATTCCCAAGTTTCACAAAAAAATGTCCACGGTCATTTCCATATAGCCAGACGGTGTCACTACAGGAATCAGGGACTTAATTCCAGGGTACACAGCATATTAACATCAAAGACAGCATTTCATATGAAGATACTCACTTTAGTAAATCTTCCCTACATTGTTTCTGAGGTGCAAAACAAGCAACTGCCCAAACTTTAATTTCGATGCCAGCATAAAACTGCTTTCCCCGCATGTCCCAGACACCCTGGTTGGGTGTGGCTACGGTTTTATTCTTTAAGAAATGGAAGAAAGAGAAGCTGTTATAAACCATTTAATAAACAAAATATTTTTAGCCCAAAGCAAGTATGTAACAATGACCAAAGCTGAGGGTAAATTCAGTGTGTTAAAGTGGGAAACCCTTGACTACTTCTGTTTTTCATGGGATGTGGAAGAAATGTACTTCAAATAAAAAGCTTACCCGGCCTCCATATTGCAGCATTGGTGCTGGGAGCACTCGGCCTGTGAGCTCTGTCATTTCATTATGGACAACAATACCAAATTCTTTCAGGTATGGATCAGGTCCACCCACCATGCTGTTACTCTTCACCTAAAGAACAGGAGAGCCTACATATAAAAAACCAAAGAGGAACTGTGTCCCATCAGGACTTTCCTATTTTTAGTTCTCCATCTGAGAGCTAGCTTATCTTGAAGACCATGTCTCACTGACCAGTCTGCTGATCTCTTCCTGTCTGTCAGGAGCAGATCTTGCTGTGGCTTTGATCATAGTGGATGTCTGATTGTCTGTGAGCTTCTTTATACAACGCTGTCCTGCCACTATATTACAGACCTACCAAGAGGCAAAGAGAAATCAGTGTCTGTACCTCATAGGCCCCACTTCCAGTAAAATAAAAATTCAGCTGCACAGTAAACTTTACATCAAAAATAGGTTTTTAGATAATTTTTAATTGTGATTTTAACAAAAATTTACAGAAAACTTGGATTTCTATTCATTCATTTTTGCACATTTTCCTTCCTGGCACCTAGCTCACTTTAAAAAAAAATCATTCATTGTTGCATAATTTCCCCCCCATCCACTTTGCTATGCACCTCTTATTCTGGACTGTTGTCATGCAAATAATGCCTAATCATATATTCCTTTTAAACAGTTCTTTCCTTCACCTGTTCCAATGCATAGGAAATATTTTAGGAACTACTACTAAATTCCATCACTAGTTAAGAACAAGTGTCTTTAAACTTATTCAAAATATTAGAAGATTGGCAAAGAGAAAAGAATAAATGAAGTTACCTCAAGTGGCAAGTATGTATGTTTTTGTTCTTGTCCTACTTGGAGACAGGGAAGATGAGGATATTTCAATTGCAAGCTATACTTTTGCTTAAAATATTGAGCTACTGTACATTCCATAGCTTGACCGTTTTCTAACTGTAGAGGAAATCTATGGGAGAGAATATCTTTTTTAGAAATTTCTTTTTTTTTCTCTATATTTTATTAATTTTCATAAACATTTACAGAGATTTTGGGTTTCCATTCATTCATTGTTGCACTATTCTCTCTACCCTCCTCCCAGTTTGTTCTTGTCCAAATGCCACAGGGCTTGTCAAAGCCAGTTCTGATTAATCTTCTTTGTCAGTGTGTCCTTTGCCATTCCCTATCACTCCTCCCTGAGAGAGACTTCACCCTGAGTCATAAGGAAAAGGGGATGGCGTATTCTCTTAGCTACTTCCTGCTGAAAAGGGACGCTGTGGGTTCTTTTTTAGAAATTTCTTGAAGTTCTATTTTTTAAAAAAAGATAACCACCTAATAAAATTTTCTATCAGTCACTTTAAAAAGAAAGCATTTTTGTGCATTTTCATGTAAGTAATTTTAGAGTGTAATCAAAATAGTCAATCTGTTGGAATTTTCCACGTTTGTTAAAGCTAGAAGGAGAAAAAGGTTTTAAAGAACTTAAAGCCAGAAGCTATAGGAAAAAATTACATAGACTCAGTGGAGGTCAGGTTAACACCTAATGATATAATCTTTTGCTGGTTAATGATATAATCTTTTGATAGTAAAACTCAAATTATGAGTCAGAGTCATGTACACAGGATTTGTGTTTGTTTCAGAGAGCTTTTTTGGTAAAATGAGTACAGCACAGTTACTGGACCACATTTTTAGATCCCCAACTAGGATAAATGCTTGTAGATTTTGAAGCAACAAGACCAAAGACATGAAATTGAGACTGTGCCAGGACGTAAATATAAACTAGGGAATATGATCTAAAACAACTTTATTTAGTTCTTCTGGTGGGTGAACTCTCCCAAATACTTGACACAATAATAACTTTAATGCTGCTTTCATGATTGTCACAGCCTCCACAAGGTAACAATGCAGGAAGGATCACCTACATGATACCTACGTCTATGTGCTTTTAAATTTCATGCAAAGATTGTATGGGTCTAAACATTTACATCTTTTCACAGGATTTTTTCCTCCCAGTCCCTGGAGTACATTACTCTTGTAAAGTACAGGATCAGCAAAAAGAGGACGACTCAATGAGCTGGATTGACACCATGGATCCAACAATGAACTCAAACACAGCAGCGATTGTGAGGAAGCTGCCGGACTGGGAAGTTTAATTCACTACGAGTCAGAATCCATTCAGTGACACCTAACAACTTGTGAAATAATTAAATAATGAAAAAGGCATAGTTCTTCCAACAAATTTAACAGTTCTCAATAGTGACTTCATAAAGTTTTAGTAATATTTTTTTTCCTAGAAGATGGAAGTCAGTAATATAGACAAAATGTAGACTTTCATCTCACAACTCTTAAGAAACTCATGCAATATGTACATAAGGTGATGCTGAAGAATTTATTCAAGTCAGACTGAATAAATTCACACCTTACTTAGCCAGAAGTCACAAAACACTTCAACTAGGATCCATTGTTACTATTGGGAGTTGCGCTGCCAACTCAAAGACATGTTGTTTTTCAATCCACCAGCTGCTCCGGGGAAGAAAGATGAGTAATCTCCTCCTCTGTGATTTACAGCCTCTGAAAACCTGTTGGAGGGTCGATTCTGACTCGACAGCACATAACAACAAAGAGAATAAAATGCTCCCAGTAATTTACCATCTAAAACAAGTACTACAAAATGAGAAAAATAAACACCAAAAAAATCAATGTAAAGTTTATATATTTAAATCCATATTATTTACTTAGAAAAGCTAATATATTTAATACACATGTCAGGAAATAATTTAATGATCTGTATTATAACACACACAAGTTGATGTTACTAGATGCCATGGAGTCAGTTCTGAATAAAACTCTACTAGAGAATAAAACTCTATCTGATCCTGTGCCATCTTCAAAATCTCTGCTTAAACCTATTGCTGAAGTTAAGGTATCAATCCATCTCATTGAGTAGCTTTCTTTCTTAAACTGCTTCTATTTTTCTAAGCATACTGTCCTTTTCAGGGAGTTACACTCTCCTGATAATAAGCGTACATACATGAGATAAAGTCTCACTATCCTTGCATTTAAGAAGTACTCTGGCTGCAATTCTCCAAGATTTGTTCTTTAGGGAGTGCATAGTACAGACAATATATGCAGTCATTTAGAATGCACTTTGATATAAATATAGACAGACAACAGCTAGATACAGCTATAGATAGGTATAACTATAGGTATAGCTCACAATGGAATAGGAGTTGGGTAATTAGATATTTTCAGTTAGACTGAGAATACAGAAAGGATATGCTAGCAGCTAGAAGCAGCCATCCATACTGACAGATGGAAGTGATGAGAGCTGTGTACAAAGGAAGAGGAAAATCTACACAAAATCAATATACATCCTCACATGATCTCCTCATGCAAGTTACAGGACTTAACAGAGATTGATGGCCATGTATTAAGAATACCAACAGTATAATAACACTTAAAATAATGGCTGAGTCCTTAAGTAAAAGTTGATCTATGCTTAGCAAATTTTAAGAGGTGAATACAATTAAAGGCAGGAAATAAGTTTTATCAATGTCTCTATAAAATATGAAAAATATTTTAACAAATGCTCTAGGTTCAGTGATCTTGAAAATTACAGCCCAGAACACTAATTTCTCTAAGGATTATTGCAGCTTCATTCTGTTACCAAATAAGGAGTAGCATCTTTTTAGATGTGGTTAACATACGTTTGATGACTGGCTGGCCGTCTAGTCACATTACAGACTCGATATTTTCGTTTCATCTGTCCACAGTGGGTCACCTCAACTTTAAGACCTAAAGTTAAAAGGGTGGATGGAGAGGGGTAAAATATCAATATTGGTTAAAATCAGAGTGACAAAAATATATTCATATATTAAATGTTTCCAAAAAGGGATGGTACAGTATAGGACAAAAGTTGCAAAAATACAGGAAAAATCTCCCGGCGCTGGCTGAAAATCGCCTGTGACTTCATCCATAGCC